TTTCTACATATTCTCAACAAACAGTATCACAAGCGTTCAGTACGCCTTGGCCCGGGCTCTCAAAAACAACTTAAACCCCACACATGTATTCTGATTTGTGTTTAAATCCATAGATTAGTATTATATCTACCTAAATATCAATGTGTGATGTTACAAATGCCACATGTAAAGATAACTGCTCCGTTAAAGTGAAGCCCTTTTCTCTCTCCATTCACAATATAGTCTCAATCAAAAGTGTTTAGTCTTTCTTGAGCCCGACTTGGACCGGGCTGTCAAAAACAACTTAAACCTCACACGTGTATCTTGAAATGTGTTTATATCCACAGATTAGTAATATATCTACCTAAATATCACTTCACAGAGTCTCAAAGCGTAGTATTTGAAGCAAAACCGTTGCTGAAAGTGAAGCTCTATTTTCTACATATTCTCAACAAACAGTATCACAAGCGTTCGGTCCGCCAAAATTTCAGCCCGACTTGGCCCGGCTCTCAAAACAACTTAAAACCCACACATGTATCCTGGATTTGTGTTTAATTCCATAGATTAGTATTATATCTACCTAAATATCAATATTTGATGTTACAAAATGCCACATGTAAAGATAACTGCTCCGTTAAAGTGAAGCCCTTTTCTCTCTCCATTCACAATATAGTCTCAATCAAAAGTGTTTAGTCTCTGTTCAGCCCGACTTGGCCCGTGCTGTCAAAAAAACCCTAAACCTCACACATGTATCTTGAAATGCGTTTATATCCATAGATTAGTGTTATATCTACCTAAATATCGCCGTGTGATGTTACAACATGCCACATGTAAAGATAACTGGTTCGTTAAAGTGAAACCCTTTCCTCTCTCCATTCACAATATAGTCTCAATCAAAAGTGTTTAGTCTTTCTTGAGCCCGACTTGGACCGGGCTGTCAAAAACACCTTAAACCTCACACATGTATCCTGGTTTCTGTTTATATCTCTAAAATAGAGTTATATCTACCTAAGTACGTCTTTATAGTCTCAAAGCGTAGTATTTGAAATAAAAACGTTGCTGAAAGTGAAGCTCTCTTTTCTACATATTCTCAACAAACAGTATCACAAGCGTTCGGTACGCCTTGGCCCGGGCTCTCAAAAACAACTAAAACATCACACATGTATTCTGATTTGTGTTTAATTCCATAGATTAGTATTATATCTACCTAAATATCAATATTTGATGTTACAAAATGCCACATGTAAAGATAACTGCTCCGTTAAAGTGAAGCCCTTTTCTCTCTCCATTCACAATATAGTCTCAATCAAAAGTGTTTAGTCTCTGTTCAGCCCGACTTGGCCCGGGCTCTCAAAAAGAAACAAAACCTCACACGTGTATCTTGAAATGCGTTTATATCCATAGATTAATATTATATCTACCTAAATATCAATGTATGATGTTACAAAATGCCACATGTAAAAATAACTGGTTCATTAAAGTGAAGCCCTTTCCTCTCTCCATTCACAATATAGTCTCAATCAAAAGTGTTTAGTCTCTGTTCAGCCCGTCTTGGCCCGTGCTATCAAAACACCTTAAACCTCACACATGTAGCCTGATTTCTGTCTATATCTCTAGAATAGAGTTTTATCTACCTTAGTACGTCTCAAAGCGCTGTATTTAAAGCAAACACGTTGCTTAAAGTGAAGCCATATTTTTCTATACATTCTCAACAGCCACACAGTATCAGTCATGCTTTCGGTCCGGTTTGGCCCGGGCTCTCAAAAACAAATTAAACCCCACACATATGTCCTGATTTGTGTTAATTCCATAGATTAGTATTATATCTACCTAAATATCAATGTGTGATGTTACAAAATGCTACATGTAAAGATAACTAGTGAAGCCCTTTTCTCTCTACATTCACAATATACGTGGCTAATGTTTATCATAGATATTCTAGATAACTGTGGATAAACACTGCTGTCCTCAATGACTGAATGTAATCTCATTCGCAACTACCAAATTTGCAGACATATGACTTGCTGTGAAATAGCTATGGTAACGGATGTTTGCAAAAACGTGATCAAAGTCTGTCTCACCACAGGTATCTATGACAAACTAATCAAACGAATAAAATCGATAAGATATGGTTCACACAAAAACCAAAAGGGAAACCATGGTACACTGAAAATAGGCCAAATCATCCGCTACTTTTGTGGTTGTTGCAAACTATATTTGATTTACACTGCGTAAATAGCTTTTAACTGTACCATCAAATCTCTTATAAATGTAAGTTTTCCGTAAGTTTACCAAACAAAACGTAAATAATCTTCAGGTTCCATATTCTTTTAATTAGGTTTCCGTTTTCCTGAAATTAATTTTATTTCATGTGACAATATCTTTTATATGAATTCTTTGAGACTCTGTGAAGTGAAATGTAGGTAGATATAATACTAATCTATGGAATTAAATACAAATCAGAATACATGTGTGGGGTTTAAGTTGTTTTTGACAGCCCGGGCCAAGGCGTACTGAACGCTTGTGATACTGTTTGTTGAGAATATGTAGAAAAGAGAGCTTCACTTTCAGCAACGTTTCTATTTCAAATACTACGCTTTGAGACTCTGTGAAGTGATATGTAGGTAGATATAACACTAATCTATGGATATAAACACATTTTAAGATACATGTGTGAGGTTTAAGGTGTTTTTGACATCACGGGCAAAGTCGGGCTGGACAGAGACTAAACACGTTTGATTGAGGCTTTGTTGAGAATGGAGAGAGAAAAGGGCTAACTTTAACGAACCAGTTATCTTTACATGTAGCATTTGATAACGTTACAAAGTGATAATTAGGTAGATATAATACCAATCTATGGATTTAAATACATTTCAAGATACACCTGTGAGGTTTAAGGTGCGTTTGAGCGCCCGGGCCAAGCCGGACCGAAAGCTTGTGATACTGTGTCTTTGTTGAGAATGTATAGAAAATAGGGCTTCACTTTGAGCAAGGTGCTTGCTTCAAATGCTACGCTTCTAGACTCCGTGAAGTGATATGTAGGTAGATATAATACTAATCTATGGATATAAACACAAATCAGGATACATGTGTGCGGTTTAAGTTGTTTTTGACAGCACGGGCCAAGTCTGGCTGAACAGAGACCAAACACTTTTGATTGAGGCTATGTTGAAAAATGTGAGACAAGGGCTTCACTTTAACGGAGCAGTTTTCTTTACATGTTGCATTTTATAACATTACAAAGCGATATTTAGGTAGATATCATACCAGTCTATGGAATTAAACACATTTCAAGATACGTGTGTTACGTTTAAGCTGCTTTTGACGGCTCGAGCCAAGCCGGGCGGAAAATTGTGGCCGAGATAATGTTGAGAGTGTTGGGAAGAGATCGTATCATTTAAATGTGGGCAGGCTTTAAATACGATGAATAGTGAATTTATGGAGTGGTATGTGATTGGATATAGATGTGAAATCATTTTCGGGCCGACGGAAATGTGTATCGGAATTGGCTGAAGTATTTATACGTATTAAATCCCGTTTCGTTTAACGATTCCACTTTTATACGTAACCTCGGTCAGCCAGTTCACAGGCTTCTCGTCTTCCTGGGTTTTAGCCGATTTACTCGTAATAAAGATATTATGGTACGCGTTTGTGGCTTCCGATTGATCATTATTATCATGAGTGGATGTAGCATTGATTAATTGTACGCATGGTTTTTGTTAATGGGTTTATTAGCCAATAATAGATGTGGCCCGCCTTGGCCCGGCCCGGCCCGACTTTTAGGCCATCCCGTAAATAATCGAGTCTGGACCAGACAATCCAGTATTCCACAGCATGAGCATCGATCTGCGCAATTGGGAACAGATGACGTATCAACGAAACCAGCGAGCCTGACCACCAGGGGATCCCGTTAGTCGCCTCTTACAAGAATGGGTTACTGAAGATTCATTCTAACCCGGACCTTCAGGAGTCCATGCCTCAACAGGTGTAGCAGTTGCTCAGGAACTCCATGTTTGATCACCAGTTTGTTTGTCCAGATAAACACAAAACTATATGAACAAATCAAAACGCAACACGATTTTGGAATGAAGTTTTTATTTACATAACGAAAACACGAAAACAAATAAAGGTCAATTTCTTGTATTTCAAAATATCACAACAAATACCTCAAGGGTCCTTAATGTGCTTCATAAATGTTTTGTTTGATATAGAAGTTCCGACTTCACTGCCTAATCATCCTTCTCCTTAAACACACTCGATTCTTCTGAAGAAGCTGGCCACTCTGGATAGCAAGGCCTTCAGGAAGGAGTGGGTTGGCTGGATGATCTCATCACCGAGATCAACTTCAACAGAGTCAACAGAGTCGGTGTCGTCCACGATGTACTGACCAGCGATGGTGAGGGACACAGAAGGGACAGTGCTGGGGCAAAGGGTCTGGGGGGCAGGCAGGTGTGACAAGTAGGCAGGGAATTTGAAATGGGATGCTTTAGATGGGAATGGGAGGTTTGAGAATGGATTGTGAGGAAAGAATATAATGTAGATGAAAACGTTTATTCATTGAATGTTATTGGTGCAAATATATGATTCTGGAGGTAGGGACAGATAAGTTATAAACGCCTAGAGTATAAAGTCTACTGGAGGTTACAATTCAGAATTATAAGTGCCAGGAGCTATAGGAAATCTAAACTGAAGACGCAGCGTAAACACACGATTCGTTTTCCTTATAGTCATAATAAAAGACATTTAAATATGATATGTACAGACAGAATGGAAATATGATGTGAATGGCCTACTCCTGAAGTGGAGAGTGGAACTTTAGAAGTGTACATACAATGTGTAGAGGTGGATATAACGAGGGGCCGATAAATATTCTCTGAGTGGTATTATGAAAGATATTCTTTGAAACACCTAGGATGCCACATTGAAATAAATATATGGCTGACTGAGTGAGTATACAGGTAAGCAGTTTAAAGTGGTACACCCAGTTGGCAGAATTATCCCTCAAACAGTCTAGCAAGTTAGTCATCTTCAGCGTTTGGTTGAGCGTGTTAAATATGAACCACCCATAAGTCTGTAATACTAAAAACCCTAAGGGTATATATAATAACAGTCCCCTACACCTCCTAAACAAGGGGCAGGACAAGGCAAAGGGGCTGGGGAAACCATATCATCCGATCAACTGTGGAGAGAAAGAAGGATAGAGTACAAACTCAAGATACATTGCAGAAAAAATTGAAAATTTTGTAGCTTAATAGAACTTTTCATTTTTACGCCTTGTTTACTAACCTGTTTATGTGAAATTACAATATATAATACAAATAATAGAAACTAGTACATTTGTAATGCTGACTTACATCTTCTAACACTTGTGCAAATGTTAAAAATAAGATGTACTACGCTAAATGTTCCAATTTTTTATCCATTGATAAAAATAAGTTATAGCTATCATCTACGTATAATATATTGAAAAAAGTCACAAAGTAGATAATAAAATTCAGGGCTCAATTTAGAGATGTTCACCTACATGCACCGGGTGCACCTTAAGATAAACAAGCATTGTCACTAAGGTGACATAATCCCCTGCCGCTGCAAATTATCATATCAAACTTATAAAGTAATGCAAGTTTAAGATGAAGTTAAATGTCAACAAAAACATGACCAGTCAACCTCCCTTGATATCTTGCTCTTTAGTTGTTCAAACACACACATATTTTCAACACTGACTTTGACCTTGACATGAATGTCATAGTGTATGAAATATGCAAACTAGTACTAAAGAAATTGCTTATTGAAAAACATTCAAGGGAGGTCTTGAAAGTCTATGAAGAAAATCAAGTGAACCGTTCTTAAAATACAGGTTAACATGCTGAAATCTTCAAAGTGTCCCAGTGACCCTAAAAATTATGTGAAGGTCACCAAAATTGACTGGGCTCGGTGTCAAATGAAGCTTGGTGTCAAATATGAAGAAAATCCAGTGAATATTTTTTGCGATATCTTGCTATCTTAACATGTAATTTAACATGCTGAAATCTTCAAAGCGTCTGTGACCTTGAAAATTAAGTGAAGGTCACCAAAATCGACTGGGCCCTGCGCCTTCCCTAGATAAAGCTTGGTGTTAAATATGAAGAAAATCCAGGTAACAGTTCTTGAGATAGCTTAACATGCAGGTTGATATGCTGAAATCTTCAAAGTGTCGCCATGACCTTGAACATTATGTGAAGGTCACCAAAATCGACTGGGCCCTGCGCCTTCCCTGGATAAAGGTTGGTATTGAATATGAAGAAAATCCAGTGAACGGTTCTTGAGATAGCTTTACATGCAGGTAAAACGTTAAAGTCCCCTTGTGACCTGAAATGAAGGTCAAGATCACCAAACTTGACTTAGGCCTTTCTTATAGTGTGATGAACCTAGTTACCAAATATGAAAAGAATCTATTGAACGGTTCTTAAGATATTCCAATTCGTACGGACGGATGGACGGACGGAGCCTAATACTATATCCCTCGCTTTGCGCTAAACGCTCGACGGGGGACAAAAACCTAGTTGATCCAGCCAAATTCCATCTGCACTAATCTTATTGCAATACGTAATGAAAGAAATATGCTATTCAATTATTTCAATAAGTTCAAGCATTTTTGGGAAATATGTAAATGTTTTTGTTTTTTTTCTTTTGCGATCCAGTATGCTGTCCATGAATAAAATCTTCATGGTGTCAACTTGATTATCCTGCATTTTAACATGTTTAAGAACTGTCTTTTCCAATGGCAAAACTGATGTATTTTTGCACAGTTGTGCTAGTTCATGGGCTTCAGATTTGAGGTGAGCCTCACTAATTTGATGGATTTCTATCACAAGACTTGCAACCACTTCTTAAAGAATTACTTCTTCCGGTTTTATCATACTTTTGACATGTTTTTTTGCTATTTTCAATCTCATCATAGTGTATCCAATCCCTGTTTTTCTGCCATTCCTCTTTAAATTTGCAAGTCTTAATTTCTTTACCATTGCATGTGGCTGGATTTGCGTTTGTCTCGAATTTATGTTTCAATTTATCATCTGTATTTTTATCACCCGGCCATCAGTTTTGTTTACCACTTTTGTCAGCTACTTCACTTGATTTCTTCAGAAAAATAATGCTTTAATGCTTGCCTATTGTTTACTTTTGCTAGTATCCATGATTGTTTTTATTCACGGTTTCGATTATTAAAGTTGACAGAAGGCTTAGCCATGTGCGACAAATCTGTCAGCTATCACTTAAAATGATGTAGTGTGTTAAAACATCAGGTTTCAGTGCTCATAAAGTCAGAGGTTTCAGTGCAGATGAACATATTTCTGTGACAAAGTACCCATATAACCATAGCAACTTGGCCACAAAGCTGATCCTTGTTTACAAGAGGTGTCTATAAATAGCAATGTTTCGTGCCATAGCTAAAAGCACTAAATCGAGCCCTGAAATTTGCAAGAAAGTTTTTCTAAAAGACACTGAAGTATACCAAAAATTATTGCTTCAACAAATCCACTATGAGGCAAGTACAATACATACCACAAACATTGGGTAACGAAAACAAATATTGAGTATTATTTAGTACATTACGTACAATAATAACCAAATATTTATTGGACATGTTTTCACTCATAGCCTGCGTAAATATATCATTACAATGACCAGTGACCATTAATGTCAAAGTGAATATTTGAGAACACTGGTTATTATTCTGCCTGGTTTGCATACTTTCCATTTGGCATATCTCGTTGTGATAAATAACACCTGAAGTCAAGTAAAAATACGTAAATCTTAAAATATTCATGAATATTCTATTTTAGTTATCAAGAATATTGAACAGAATTCAAGAAGGAATAAAGTTTGATTGCTATGATCCTTTTGCCATGCATATTTTATACGCATTGATCCACTGCATGCAACAAATAGGCGAATGGATGTCTGAAATTTGAGAAAATACTGCAGTGTACAATGTAGAAGATACTACCTTCCGTTTAATACTATTTTTATTAAACGAGTTAATGATTTGGTATCAAACAAGCGAGTTTGATAATAAATTTTTAACGAGTTATATAAAAATGGTATTGACGTAAGAAAGTTAAGTATTGTTTATTACTCTCCAACATAACATGTTGATAGAAACAGCGTACAGTGTGAAGACTCAGCTTTCTGCGAGTCAAGCAAGGTCTAATACCATTGTCAGTGCTCGATTTAAGAAATGTTAACCTACTTGCACCAGGTACAACCTAAAATAAAATCCTAGTTGCACCAGCCAAATTCCAGTTGCACTGCTTTTATTGCAATATGTAATGAAAGAAATATGCTGTTGAAGTATTTAGATGTTTTATTCAGAAGTTTCCCCACTCAAAATTTGACCTGCACCTGGTGCAAGTTCGATAATAACTACGTTGCACTTTGTAATATTGGCTTGCACTAAATCGAGCCCTGATTGTGACATTGGTATAACCATTGTGACGCACTACACAATGTGCAATAACATTGTAGAGATATTAAACAGTGGTATCTTCAACGGGTGAGTCACAAATGAATGTTTCTTTGTTTACATCTCAAAGAAGCGCAGTATTACAAGCACAGTGTTCGTTTTCACACTCCATCTCTTTCGCTTGATTTGATCTAGGCTCTTGGTTTTTGTGACAAAGACCATTTGATAATTTATTCTAAAATGTGTCAGAAATTCAGTGATGTATTTGTAGAAGCTGAAATATATGTGATATAATAGACGTCTAATGACCGGCCATCCCGAAATTTGATTTTGTAAACACTCTCCAATAGGGCAGAAAGCTCACTTTGGCGTTCGTGTTCATGTATTTTCCAAACATCCAAATAGCTTCTAGGTTTATCACTGTTTATGGGTGATGTTGCAGAATTACCATTGGTGATTTGATGAAAAACATATCATTGAATACTAATTTATTTGAAATTCAATCTTCTGAATAATTATCTGATTTTTACATTTCAAAATATGCACCAAGTAACGCTGTGAATTGTGATTTTGTAATGTGTCAAAAAATGGCGACATTGCGGATGCAAATATGATCAAAAGTTGTAATGAATTAATAATCATTTCACCCCTAATCAACATTGCACGTAAACATATTGAAATAGAAGAATTTTTCGATTTAGTCAGGATCTGCATAAGAATTATCCCCCTTGTAACATACTCTCCATGGGGGTCCTTACTCAATGCCAGTTTGCACATGTTACAGTGAAACTACTTACATGGATAACTTAAGCTATGGTTTTGTTGGAGACATGATCAGGGTCAGTAATATTTATTTCAACACGTATATGTATTTTCTTGAGCTGTCTACAAAATACTATGACAGAGCAGTATTGAAGATCAAAACATCAATACTGACAAATTGTTTTAATTCTTAAAGCTCTCCTATTATATTCTTACTTATCAATACAGCAACAGGAATTAATTTCTTTATCATTCTTCTATTTTTATTGAGGCAAATCATCTTATAAAAATCCTGAATAAATTGACGAAATTGACTTTATTAGCATAAAAATTGCACTCGCAACTGATGTGTAGGAAAAAAACCAGAACATTATTATGTATCTATTTCTGTTGTGACTGATATGCAGGCCTAGGTCATACATCATGAAACAATGATTAACAACATGATTAAAATGTAATGTTTGAATATCGAAACCTAGATCTAGATTATGCCATATATGGTGTAACGTTCAAGGTTGACAGTAAAAATAGATCCAACTTGTTTAACGGCACTGGCGCTAACTAACCATTAGAGTAAGCTACATTTATCACCTTGTGGTAATTTGCCCTTAGGCCAGATCAATTTTATTTCTTGTTTTACGGATCCTCCGATTGTATTTTTTCAAGAATACGAAAAAAGAGAGAAGAAATTTCACCGATCAAAAATAAAATCCCAATGTTTTTATCAGCCAAAAATGTAAAATTACAAGAAATTTTGTTTAGATTGTTTTTTTTTGCCCCATATACACTTCATAAATTGCCAAAAGTAAAATACTTTTAGTATTTCAAAGGAATATTACTTTGGTGGTGTTTTATTTTTATTTTTCTTCCCTCCTGCACTTAGGTTTTCTGAGGACGAAAATCCGTAAAACAAGAAATAAAATTGGTCTGGCCATATCTAGTTATTTAGGTAGACCCTAGTTCAGACATGTAATACTCACAAAATGGCTTCCATAGACTTGTCAGTTGCTTCCAGCACCTTTTGTCCCAGGTCATGGCTTTGACCTCTAGTAAAGATGATTGGTGCTGGTGATCATATCCCTCCCCGTTTTCTAGGCTCTCTCCACGGGAAGGACACTATGTCGCCACTACACACCTCTTTGGTCTGTCACACAGGCAAGAGGTCTTCCCTCGACTGTCCACTTTGGGGGTACAATTTTCACACTCTTATCAAGGGGTCACTCCTTCTCTCACACATCCATATGAGCAGTCAGTCTTCTGCTCTCAAATTCAAATCCCACCCTATCACTGGGTCAGTCCGACAGTCTATTATACACATTACTGGAGTCCCATCCTATCACTGGGTAGGACCAACATTCTCTTGCACACATTACTCAAGTGTCATCCTACCACTGGGTAAGACCAACAGTGTTCTACAGGGCAAAAAATCGAGCAGCGTTGTTGTTGGTGGCCCAGAGCACTTCCTCAGTCGTGATGCCCCTCGCCTCAGCCACGACATCCGCCACCAGACATAACAATGTCGGGGAATTGGTTCTATATCCAACTGGCGGCATGCAAGGAGAGTCTGTTTCCAACAGCACCCTGTTTCCGGGGACAGCTTTCAATCCCTCAAACTGGTCCTGGGTGAACATCCTCGCTCTGGCGGTGAAACCGAAGTAGGTCTGTGGGAAAACATCCAACCACTCCCGAACAGTTTCTTCATTCCCGGTGAAGCAGTGAACATGAATAGGTTGATCTTGGGGCAGGATTTCTCTCAGGATTCTAATAGTCCGGGTGTGGGTCGTCCCTGCCTCCTCATCTCCTTCTGGTCCGCAAACATGTAAGACTACCGGACGCCCAGACGGGATGTATGGCAAGAGTTCTCTTAACACCGCTTCTTGTGTCTTCCACTCTTTCGCTGGGGCTGAGTGGTCCAGCCCTAACTCGCCAACAATGCAGTGGTCATCCCTCCAAAATCGCAACAAATCCCGGAATACCTGGTCGTTGAGGTAGGGGGCCTCTTTGGGGTGGAGCCCCACTGCCGTCTTATATCTAGGGTCAATGCTGATCTTGCTTGGGTAGGTGTGGGGGTCACAACATACCTGCACCCTCCACACTGGCAAATGTTCAAGTCGATGGCGAACTTCTGGGACGGCCTCTATCAGCTCCTGGGAGGTCCCCTTCCATGTCCTGTCAAAAGACTGTGAAGTGCTCTCCCAAGCCCTGTCCAGGTTGAAGTGGGCATCAAACAGATGGTCTAACCCACCTTGTCCTTGGGTAGGCTCTTCCACTTGATCCCCAGTCAGCCACATGGCTTCCGTCGTGGCTACCCAGTCTTCAGGCAACCCCGTGGTCTCATTCATAGCCAGCCGATCTTCAGCCTGCCACATGGGCTCAGGTGAGTCCATCACTAATAGCTCCTGGTCAAACTCCTGTGGGGCCTGTTCCTCATTGGTCCAACGGGAATAATATGGCACTGGAACTAGGAACAGTCTGAACTCACTTCTCTGGTCTGGACTCACAAAGTTGAGTAAGTGCAACAGCACCCGCCACTGTTTTAAACAGGCTGGAGAGTTCAAAGGATGTAGGGAAAATTTCACAGGAACGTTCCACCCTTGGTCCCTACACAAGTGGCGCATGCCTGCCACAGAACTTTCATGTACCACACAGTCCTGAGAAAGCTGAACATTCTGGTTAAAGAACTTTAGGAGATCCCATAGGGTTGACACAGGCCCCAGGATCCACGTTGCCAACTGACGTAGACCCTGGAAGACCTTTTCCGTTACCTCCATATCGGGGGTATTTTTCTGGGGGAATCGGGCTCCAAAGTACCTTGGAAGGTGCGCTAGGAAAGCGTGGTCCTGCAGCTTTCTAGTAACCATCTGGCAACCCACCACCGGACACTTTGAGCCCCCTTTTTTCCTTGCCCGAGACCCACCCCCAACACTGTATTTGGCGTCGACATAGATGTACTTGTAGCTGTGGGTTCCGGTCGTGGGCGTATTCTTCCCTCCTCGAGCTCCAGACGTCTTTCCCTTCTGACTCCAGGTAATTCTAAACGCTCTCTCACTGGACGGTGGCTCTTCTCCATCCTTTGTCGGCTTCTGACTCCAGGTAATCCTAAACGCTCTCTCACTGGACGGCGGCTCTTCTCCATCCTTTGTCGGCGCTCAGGTTCTCGGCGGTCCTCCCGGGGTGGGTATCTTTCCAGGGGACTGTCTCGCTTCTTGAGTTGATATGGCACAGACTCCCCCCACCGTTGTCCTGACGAGAGAGACCTTCTCCTCCGGCGCTGGATGGGGACACGGTCTGCCATCTCCTCCACTGTTGGCCTGGCCACCACCCTCTCCTCAAAGTAGTCTGGGTGCCGTCTTCGAAATGGCGCTCCGGGGGAAGGGTTGGGGTTGCCATCTTCAGCACCCTCTCCACTTTTCTGCTCTCCGAGAGGCACTCCCAGATAGCTGCTCCTGGGGTAGGTCTCTCCCTCCAACTCCTCTCCTCCTTGCCATGGGTTCCACGGCTCATTGCTTTGCTAAAGAGTAAGCTAAGGATTCCTGCAATGGAGGAGAATACGTGCTGTCAATACAACTGTCAAACATATCAGTGAAACAATAGGGTTAAGATTACATACAAGATCCAAACTTCAGAGTCCCATACATAGAACTCCATAGCCCTCCTACCCTCACAGCTTACTACATTTAAGTAACCAAGATAACCCGAAAGATAACAAACGCAGAACTTCAACAGAGTGAGTGAGTGAGTGAGTTCAGTTCTAAGCCGCACTCAGCAATATTCCAGCTATATGGCGGCGGTCTGTAAATATTCGAGTCTGGCCCAGACAATCCAGTGATCAACAGCATGAGCATCGATCTGCGCAATAGGGACATGTGTCAACCAAGTCAGCGAGTCTGACCACCCAATTCCGTTAGACGCCTCTTACAGCAAGCATGGGTTGCTGAAGGCCAATATTCTAACCCGAACCTTCACAGGTTTTCAACGTTTAGAAGAAAAAGGAGCTGACATAATTACGCTTATGTTGTTAGATTTATCGGTTTATTTATAAAAAATTGACTTGCACCTGGTGCAAGTTAGAATAATCATTAGGTTGCACTTTGTAATATTGGGATGCACAGGTGCAAGTATCAAAGCACTAAATCGAGCCTTAAAATATGATGGGCCAAACTTCCCCAAGGTAATGAAATATCAATAACTTTTCCAAATCCTGGGTGTTCATTTTCATTTCTATCAACCATTTAACTCTTTCAACACAAGTCAACTAGAAGCTTTTACTGCCATAACACCAAGTTCCCAGAGACTCTGATGTGACAGATAAGGCCTACATTTATCAACGAAAATATCACCTTGCAAAACATTATTGCTACTACGTCATACACCATTTGAAAGGTCTAATCCCAATGTTGATAAATATCAGTTATTTTTATCATATTTTTCAAATAAACAAACTTTAACTTTATATATAGTTTATTTTTAATGAAGCTTACACATTTACAATGTCCAGATAAACCATGAAGGAAACGAAAACTGCAGAGATTTTTTCCATTTGTAAGATGTCATTATATCCTCTTACCTAATTTGTTTTTAATTTCATTTTTAAACAATCAGAAAAATAGTGTAAGAAAGATTAATTAAATAATATGTATGGTCATTTATTTCCTGATAACAGTGGTTTCCGCCCGGTAACATGACACAACGTCAGGAAACACCTGTTTTCGAAGCTTTGTATGGATAAAAGCAGGGTTTTACATGACGCATGATTCCTGCGTATTTGACGCAACAATTTTGTAAAAGACTCTCAAAATATTATCATACGAGTCAAGCTTGACGCAAGTTTTATGAGTGACCCCCAGAATTCAGTTCAATAAAATTGATTTGATAAGCAAACAATGATAGTTTTCATGAGGTCTTCATAAATTTAGATAAATCACAAGCATGATTATTTGTTCAGTTTACTGGATTTCGTTATGACTGATTTGAACTGTGAAAAATAAACTATTTATTAACTTCCGGTAACATTTAAATGGCAATACAACACAAAAGGACAAAATCTCTGCAAAACTCTTGCTTTTTGATATACACAAAAATAAATATTACACTAAAAATTTTATGACTCCCAAACATTGAAAATGACACCCCAAAATAAATACTGTGAGTCACCATGACTCTCTTTCTTCAAATTCTGTGTAAAACCCTGTAAAAGGCGAGAAGATTCATTTGATTGGCAGGTATCACTTGAAAACTCTAAACATCAATAATATCACTGTAAACGTGCCAGGAGTATTTTTGCAGTTGTAAGAAGCAATTTTATTGGATAAAGATTGGTTTCTAATGACGCTTTTTCTGCCACTAGCGGCTACAAGGATCAAGGTCAAAATCATACACATGACCTATGACATATAAGACAAGTATATGGATGACAACTTCTTCTTTATTGTATATAACAACATATCTGGGCTACTTCTTGCCCCTTCTTCAGGTGATATGTGTTATACAATAAAGAAGTTGTCATCCATATACTCGTGTTATACATGTATATTCATCAACTTCTAAATGCCTCTCAAGAATCTCATGACCTGAGACAGCCAATCATATTACAGCAATGGATACCACCCTCGAAAACAAAACGTTTTAGATTTTGACGAAAGTTGTGCACAATATTATTTTATTCTGAACATGTTAAGCAAGAAATCGCTACCTATACATTAAACTTTATGGACCTATCTTGCTAGGTTGTGAAAAATTTCTCATGCATATATCTTCGCATTAAAAATTGTGTCCGACCGTGAAGATTGAGGCGACGAAAGCCGAGATGTCACTTGACTAATTTTACATAATCGCACGAAAGGATGGAAATAGTAACTTAGATCTATGTTTGCAACTTTTATGAGTACTTTTGTTGAATTTATTCATTACCTTATTCAATTTAAATACTGATTTCCCTCAAAACATCTGTATTTTGCTCTTCAACAATTTACAGGTGGACCTGTTGTCGAAGCATGTGTCTGAGAATTTGTTTTTTCAATAACAATGCGAAAAATAGTTTCTAACATTAATTCTGTTGACAATATGTGCTCAGTAAGTGTTTTCAGACATCGTGAAAAGTGACAGCTTTAATAAATGAACCATATGTCAGGTAAGTTCATCAAATAGATATCATTTTGACGCGACAACAAATGCCTGGCCAGTAAACCGGCATCTGGTGTTTGCGGACTCTTGACGTCTTGTTGACAACATGTAACAAGTATTTATTAGTGATAATGCAAATGTTAGGGTAGAAACATTTAATTTTTAAAAGAAATCTCCTTCTACGGGAAGAAAAATGCTCCCAGAAATTAAGAAATCTGCAACTGGCGCATGACACATGCCTTTCCCAATTACTGGATCGAGCACAACTAATACATATATATTATAACAAAAGAACCCTGTCATTACCATCCCACCACTGGTAGAGCCAGGAGCAATTACCCAGCCTATGGCGCCAGAAATAAACAAGGAATTCAACATCTGAGAACCAAAATCCAGTGTGGTGCCAGAGACAAAAAGAGGAAACTACACTAAAACTACCATAATACCATCGAGCATCATGACACGAAGAAAAAGAGACATCCAATAATACGAAAGAAACCAAAATAAACTGTCTTCATACCATCTAATGTATATGACTAAATATATCATAATTAGACCAATACTACTTTTGTGAAAGCTAAAGAGGAAAATATCAACTACAGTGTGAGGCAGGATGCCAATTTGACTTCAAGAGCTCTAGGGTGCCTCAGAAAAGCAGTGATACTTGGCCATTGCAGGCAATCATGAAGTTCTTGAACACTTACGGCTGCCTAACAGTTATCGCCAATACATCAGTATCACGTGTACGCAGTTCCGATCAATTACAATTCCAGTAGGACAGAAAAAGAAAATTCTTCACTGTAAGTACCAGTATTTTTTGTGTGTGTTTATAGCAATTTCAATCACGGAAGGTGACTTTTTGAATGCCTTTACCCCTAAGAAAAGTTTTGTTTTTGTTAGTATTCTCCTTTAAATGATTAAATTGACCAAAACTGTGAATAATAGAATATGGCAGAATGTGACCGGTAAAACGCATTCTTACTAAATTAAAAAATACACAAAATATAACACCTCAGCACAAGGTAATACAAATACAACATGAGTGTATTAGTGAAAACAGAAAAATATATTAAACTGGTGCTATGAAAATATGGCGTATCCGCTGATAAACAACTACTGGAAACTCTCAACATTGTTGGGCTTGTGCAATGACATACAGGTCAGATAACTTTCGGGGGTGTGGGTGTACTTAAACCTCATATTGCAAGTGGACGTGTAGTGAGAATTTTTAAGGAGTACTGACATGTCTTAGTATGAGCGAGTTGATGTGGTTTGATATTTACAAACTTATCAGCTATTAAACTTTATAGAAAATTAAAGAGAATTAACTTTGGTTTCTTGTTGTTTATTTCACAAAATGTTCACTGATAAGATTACATAATCACTTAGAGTCACATTGTTTGACCCCACTGTCCCCATTACATTGTTTCTTCAGTGCTTTACACAATGCACAATACAATTTCCTCTGTCCGACTTCTGCCAGCTCATTCTAGTTGCAGTCTCACTTGTACCCGCCTTTTGTGGCAACTGGTCGCGTAATGAAACGTAATAGTTCATTGATTAATTCCTCCACTAATTTCATCAACCAAAATGCGTCTGATCCCAATTTAGACCCACTTTTTTCCAAAGAAACTTGTTATTTGTTTTTGACACGCAATGTTGGACGCTAGGCCCGATTCAATGACCTTTCGGCCTACTTCAGCACAATCTCGATTTCTGTTGTTTTTGTCTATTACTGT